GTACTAGTCTAATCAACAACGAAAATGATCATTGACAGTAGTTCAGGCTTTTTCTGTTCCGCCGAAAATTTGGGTTTTCGGTTAGCATTTTAAATGCTCGATGGGATTAGACTTTAATTAGACAGCTCAAACAATAGTTCGATAACAACAAGACATTAAAGTTTATGATGATATTTTGATGATATTATTAATTTCACGTCCTAACAACAAGAACCGCGTATGCATCTGTTTCCATAGTTCGTTTATGCAACAATATTTTTCTGATACGCTACTCTAATAGAATAACGTCGCCGTATTTTACGTTCTCCCTCAAGAAGCATATCAACATAACACATAAAACAACGAAATTAAATGAAAAGAAATTAATCTCGATTGATTGTGGAGGTGATATGGGCATCTATGGATCCACAAGCTACAGTAGATTTGGAGGCTTGCTCTTCTTTAGCAATTGGCAGACGGAATTATTGCTCTCAAATGCCATCACGTGAAGGATTGCTCTTCTTTGGCAAACCCTTTACTCACCGCTTATTGTATCAGTAGCCAAATGAGTCACTCTGTTCTCCAGACATAAATGGAGGAATAATACAGCGGTCAGAATCCGAGTGGTTCAGAACAGCCTGCTCGCATACAGAATGGCCAAAACTGATGTCGATAACAGGGTATATTCATGTGTCATGAGTTACCATGTACATGGGATACTTGGGTGAAGTGTGACCGCGTTAGCCCACGAGTCAAAATATTGTAACAAAGCGTTTGTCGCTCATCCGACACGCTCATATGGGATCATAATTCATCCAACATGATCATATGGAAAATGAACAAGGATTGGGCTTATTTCCACAGTCAAATGGCAGAGCCTGACTTTACCCTCTGTAGTTTTGACTTTGGAGAATGAGAAACATGGTCCAATCATATTAATGACCATATTCTGTCTTTTAATTTGCCCATACCTACTAACTTCTAACCAACATTATAGAATACACGTCAAGGGGGGAAAAATCAACATTTTAGTGAATTTGATTGCATGTCAAAAGGTTATGAAAACGTTCTTGCATGATGGAAATTAAGGAGACTACCAAAAGCATAGACAGGTACCTGAATAAGGCTGGCTAGAAAAGCCAAGACCCTAATATCAAAATAATCTGCATTAATATATGCATTAAAGCTACAACTGCTAAAAAGCAGTATACAATTAGGATGGTATTGTTTTCAACAAAGCAACATGTGGGTGCAAACCCTCTTGCATATCTCAATGTGAAGGGATGAGATCCTCTCTCCTTAACCTACAAAAGATGGAGCCTTGTGTTCTTGGGCGTGTATTTGGATCATTTGTTCTCTTCAAACATTTGAAGGTATAATATTATAAGGACAAGTTGTTGCCTAGGAAAGAGAAGATAAGAAAGCAAGGAAGTGAAATGTACAGACGGGTCTTTAATGCACTCCTTTGTTTTTTTAAACCTATCTCTGACTCTGCTCAAACACCAAAGGGCCCTCA